AAGATTTAGCGCGTTTTAAAATTTTCCATCTGATAGAGTAACTAATATTATTGTTCTTAAGATTCCAGATGTATTTACTTAATTCAGTAGAATTACGTTTCTCATAGTTATTAAATGAAGCTTTGTGATTGGTGTATCGAGTTTTGAATTCATTTTCTGTTAGTCCAACATATGTTTGAGTGGGCCGCTTGTCACCCTGTATATATATATATATTTTTTTATACAGGGTGTATAAAAAAAAACTGAACAGATTTAAAATTGCTCTCAATTTCGCAAAACAGCTATTTGTATCCGTTTTTTTATATATATGGCCTCTTTGGGTACTTATATTGTAGAATAATGAGAAAAATTTCTCGAACCCAAATTCTGTGAACCAGGGGGGTGTGTCTTTTCCAAAAAACTAAAAATGGCTGGCGCACAAAATTTAAAAGCTGCAATCATATTTTGAGTTAAGAGATGGAAAATTGGTCGGGATTTTAATTACTGTACAAAATTTTAGACAATTTGGTTTAGTTTAAGCCCCTTAACTATTCACGCAAAGTTACAATTTTCCCAAAAAATCAGCTATTTGCATGCTTAATTAATGCATTTGCCTAATTTGCATATGTCAGCAATATGCAAATTAGGTAAAGGCATTAATTAAGCATACGAAAGGCTGACTTTTTAGAACAAAATGAATAGTTAAAGGGCTTAAACTAAACCAAATTGTCTGAAATTTTGTACAGTAATTAAAACCCCGACAAATTTTCAATCTGTTAACTCAAAATATGATTACAGCTTTTAAATTTTGTGCGCGAGCCATTTTTAGTTTGTTGGAAAAGACACACACCCCTGGTTCACAAAATTTGAGTTCGAGAAATTTTTTTCATTATTTTACATTATAAGTACCCAAAGAAGCTATATATATAAAAACAGATACAAACAGGTGTTTTGCGAAATTGAGAGCAATTTCAAATCTGTTCAGTTTTTTTTATACACCCTGTAGTTTAATACCTTTGTTCATATTAGGTTTATGTGAATGTTATATATTATATATAATATCATAGTTGCCTCGAAATCCTTTGTCTCGCGAGGTACGATTAATCACTAATTTACCTCATTACCCATGCATACGCTTTGTCTTCTAAATTTACCCGGTAAATTTAGTCTTTGTCTTCTAATATTCCCCTGCATGCTTGATGAGGGAAATTTAGAAGACAAAAGCGTACCTCATTACCTCTGATTGGAGAGCTGTACCTCATCGAAAATCATCGGCACAACTATGGGCAGTATCTGACGACACCGTCCCGTACACATTCGAACAATCACTTTGCCAGCTTTTATTCCCTAATCTTGAACATTTCAATTGTGGGAGAAAATTCCGTTTATGCGCATGCCTAAAACGAATGAACACGGAGATGTGTTTCTGCGCGTGCGTATATATGAAAAGTGTTCGTACCACAATCATAAGACAATCAAACAGCATTCAAAACAGGCAACACACCACGTGCGATTCCCTTGGCAACTATGATATTACAAAGTAATAGCATGACATTACGGTCGATTAGTGATGAAATGTCCCTCAAGCCTCGAGAGGTTTAGTAAAAGTCCCTCGGCGCTACATGCCTCGGGACTTTTAATAAACCTCTCTCAGCTTTCGGGTACATTTAATCACTAATCGACCTGAATGCCATGCTATTACTTATAATAAATAGCCCTGTATGATCCGTACGAGCACAATGGGCCCTTTCATGTGTAATATTGTATTTTTCAATTTTTGATTTGGCTCCTTTGTATACTGTAATTCTGATTTGATACGTCGACTTCGCGTATAAGAGTGCCAGATCTATATTCGGACCAAAAATATATCTTTGACCAAACTTATACAAAAATAGGAATGAGCAAATATACCTTCTACTCAAAGGAATACAAGGAATAACTCGATATGCTGCTCATGCTAGTGTAGAAGTCCTCAAACTGGATCAAAATCATCAAATGCCTCGAAATGCAAATGTGAAATGTCGGCAGAGAAATACGAGCGCTTCCGATTGCTTCCGATACTTTACGAAAATCCGGACTGGACACCATGATCATCATCGCTCATCATGTTTGTGTACTATGTGATAATGGCTAGCCCGCAAACGGGCTAGCCACAAAAACCATTCAATATCATATAAAACTGTCAAGTGTTGACCATCTAAGCATGACACTTGATAGTCTTGCTGCAGTAAAAATAAAACCTTTTTACCTTCAACCTTTACATTCATTCTTCATGTTGTAAAAGGAAACAGTAAAATTTGTCCTCAAATCATTAAGTTATTATATTAACTCAAGTTATTATACGTAGTTTATATATATTAAATCTTTCACAAATTTATTGGTTATTCGGTTACCAATTATTTTCCCACTTCCCCCAGGAAGAAACCGGAACATTGATACAATGGGATATGCACCCCGGAGGAAAAACCCACGCAAATATGTGCGACCCGCGAAAAAAATCTGCTACCTGCGAAAAATACCCGCGACCCACGAAAAATACCGGTGACAATTAGATTATCTCTAGATGCATTGTAGTTTACCTATTTTTTAGCAATGCTATGCTTAAGAGATATTGTTTCCAACTTGCAACAGCAAGTGAGACTCTTGGAAAATGGCTAGTATTCTTCAAGACCATGCATCAATGATGACCACAAGGATTAACAACAGTGCTGTAAGTAACTTCGTTACAAGTAATGGAATTACAAGTAATCGTTACTTTTTGAGTAACTGTAACAGTAACTAGTTACCTTAAAAAATAAGGTAACTGTAACGAGTTACATTTTGGCCTAAAATAAACCGATAACGCGTTACTTTTATAGCCAACGTTTACGTTACTTTTTTCATTACATTCTTGCAGTTAAAACTTACAATTCACCTCTCAGTTCTCCTCTTGGTTTTCTACGACAACGCATGCTTCAGTGCTTAACACAACTGAGAGATCCATTAGTGGTAAGGTTACATAACGTTTACAAATAATTAACGTCAATCTGCTGACCACTAATCATTAAGTTGAAAATAACTGGGGTTTTTCTTACTTGATAAAGTTACAAAAATTTCTAAGTAACTTGTAACTAGTTACAAAAATATTGAAGTAATGAGTAACTTTTACAGCACTGATTAACAATGACAAGACAACACAAGGTTTAACAATATTGTGAAAAGTAGAAAAGGCAAAACAGCAAGCATCTGCACAGAATAGTAACATTAACACTAATTCTAATAAAATATTCACTAATTAATTATCGAGGAATATTCGAAGACCAACTTTATAATATGAACTCCCATGCAAGAGGACATCAACATGAAAGGCTAAATTACTAGGACATTACCCGAAATTAAAGTTAAGTTGAAATGCTAAAATTGAAATTGTTAATTTTTGTGTAAAATACGAATTTGTTCAGCTGTGTTCCTCGATTTTTTAACCAATTTTTTAAAGCGTTCACCAAATTCAAACATTTGTATCACACATAATATTACATAACATTTTTAACATTTCACATGAAGCATGGCATGAAATTGCTATGAAATCAGATGATCCACCATGCCTATCTATACAAAATTATAAAGCAAATGAAACAAATCAACCAGAAGTGGAATGTGAAAGCTACCCCTGGGGAAGCAGAAGGAGTTCAGGGAAGTTTTAAGGAAATTATTGTTGACCATGTCAGAAGATTGAAGAGCAATGGAGTTATTAAAGATGGAGAAACAATAAAATTAAATTGAGTGGTGATGGTACTAACATTGGAAAGCAGATGAGTGTTGTGAACATAACCTTTACAATTCTTAATGAGAAGAAGATAGCTATGAGTGAAAAAGGTAACTATATCTTAGCAGTAATTAAGACAAGTGAAAGTTACGACACCTTGGCTGAAAGTCTGGCTGATATAATAACCAAAATGCAAGATCTACAGAAGATATCAGTTGATGATAAAACATTTGATTTTGAATATTTCCTTGGTGGTGACTGGAAATTCCTGGCTTGTGTGTGTGGAGTAGGTGCTGCCAATGCTAACCATGCATGTATATGGTGCAAGTGTGCAAATCTGGACAGATGCGACACTAGTAAACACTGGTCAATTCTGGATCCCGGACATGGAGCACATACATTAAATGAAATTCTAAAAAATGCTGGATCTAAGAAATTTAATTTCAAGTCTAAACCACTCTTCATGTTTGTTCCTTTAAGTCATGTAGTGATTGATACCCTTCACCTGTTCCTGAGAATTTCAGATAATTAACCTGCTGATAAGGGAACTCAAATTTCATGACTCAATTGAAAAGAGGACCAAGTTTTCTGATGGATTTAACTGGGGAAAATTTAGGCATATGGCTCAGTACGAGACCTATTTGCAAGAATTGGGCATTCCTTTTCATTGGTATGTTGGCAAGGAAAGCAAACAGCAGGGACGGAAAAAATATTTTGCTTTCTCGGACCGCAAGAGAACATTGAAAATTTTCGGCAAATAATCAAGTATCTTGACACTCGGACTGTAACTGTGTGATGTTGTCAAACTGAAGTTTTGAATTTTAGATGTCTGGAATGGCTATTTTCTGCAATTTCACAGATATATCCAAAGGGAACAACAAAATTTGTGTGGTTAGGGAAGCCTCACATATCGATTTTGTCAATGAGAAATGTCAAGGAGACCTTACCACCACACCACCCCCTAGAAATGTCATACATAGTTATCGATATTTTGTTCTTATAGTACACATAAGGTAGTTTTCTACTATTTTCTACGGTCAGCTATTGGCAATGCTTTGGCCAGGAATATGTTATCTTTCTGCTGACATATGGTGTTTATATTAATACACATGAACTCTCAAAATGCTTGTCAAAGCAGAAAACTCCCACGAACATATGATGTTTCATGGGTACAAAATCGATATGTGAGGTTTCCCTTAGAGGAAGATTAGAAAAAGTTTGTAACTTTTCGAAATCGTATTTCCGTGCATTTTAATTATATTTCACTATATATTTTTCAACTTAACTGAAATTTAGCTCAATATAATCAAGTGGCAAAACTGGAAAATATCATGTATACAATTCAATACACTTCTTTAATATGATCTTTCACTTTGAATTGCATAAGGTCAACAATTGTTCTAGTGTACTGTTGAATACCAAGATTTTGTTAGCATCAGTGATTTCACTCAATTGAATAATAGTTGAAGGTTCTTGTAGATGCGAATTATCGAGTGGAAATTTATATACATTTATTAAACCTAACCAGGAACAATTGTGAAAAACGCAACTATGGCCCTGCGATTCTGGTGCAGTGCTCTAACAAACTCGGATTTTACACTATATAAAGCTACACCTAGCATTCTGTTATCTACAATAGCGTTACCGGTATCAACTACGGACCACAGACCACTATGCTTGGCATATTATTAATAAAATTGCTGTGGCTTACTGATACACATTGTAAGTCTAAATTGGTATATAATTTTTGTACTCTATAAAAGCGCTCCTGTTTCAATGCATAAAGCAGACAAAGAACTCATGATCTGGCAGTAAATAATATGCTCATAATTTATATCGCAGAAAGACGCTAGAAAAGATATACAACTTTAACTCCTGCTTTCTTGAAATAGCAAGAGTTCGACTTTGGAAAACAGCCGTTTTGAGCATGCACAGGGCTAATTATCCAATCAGAAACCAGGATTTCTTGTACTAAATATTGTAGCAACTCCTGCCTTTGGCAGATAGCAGAAGTGACACACATCGCATGTAAATCAATGTATTACCTGGAAATGAGCTGTTGCAGAGTTGCAGTTGCTAGGTAACAGGGCTGTAAAATTGTGTAAATGCTTATAATAGAAAGCAGAAAATAAAAATATTGAATAAGATTAGAAAAATTACAATGACTTTCTAAAAGTTCAAGATGACAAGATTGGACACTTTGAAAGATTGGACAGTTTGAAACGTGGACAATCATTTCTCTGTTTTGTGGAAAGTTTTGGTCCTGCCTATGCCACTGATGAAGGGTCTGATCGTACGGTGAATAAAGTTGCTAAAAAGACCGTACTAGGGGACACTACCAAGGGGGATCCATGCTCCCCAGAAAATTTTGAAAATTAGCTGTTCCAGATTGGCAAAAAATGCATTTGCCTTACAATATTTGTTACATTATTCTACAGTTTATACATTTACACACTATTGCACTATTAAGATGGATGCACTCATAATTGCATTTCTGAGGTCATACCTACAGTACAGGTAGCATTCTTTCTATTGATTAGAATTTTTCTTCCGAATTTCTCCTTTTTTCTATTAAATTTTTACAATTATCTTTTTTTCTTTCTTGGGGAAATATTTTCTGGGAACTCAAAATTTTCTGGGACCAATGGTCCCATGGTCCGATACTTTTTCCACCCCTGGCAAACAGTTCGAGTTTAGGGACTTAACTGGGCCCAAAAAAGTCAAGCTATTCCAACACATCAACATATCCTCATTGTTGCCAAATTCAGACAACCATAAAACCATACAGAAATTTGGGATGGGTTTTGGAATATCACCCAGGACCTAAAACTAGATTTTAACCATGAAGATGTGGAATGCTTTAAAGGCAAGGATACTTCTTGGCTTGAACTGTTTATCAAGCAAAAGATGTTACCCCTTACATGCATGCACTTTATGCGCAATACTTCACTCAGCAAGGAATGGAAAAATATAATGATGTCACCTCAAAAAACTTCTTCCGATCAAGTAATCACACAGGAGTTTCAGCACGTCAACAATTTTTTTTATGAAAAGAGCCGAGTCCAGTATTTGGAGCAAGCTGGTTGTGCTAGGATTAAGAAGAAATACAAATGCTCTAACTGTGATAAAGAAGGTCACACAATAAAACATGCACTGCTAAATGTAAAAATTGTAGTGTAACTTGCTGTGCACACCTTATAAAACATAATGGTAGATATCACCCTAAGTGTACCTTGTCTGAAGCACCATCAGTACCTGTATCGTGTGGTAATAATACATGTTGCTTTTGTTTGATTTCTAGGGTTCTGAGGGTTTACAAGAATGTGATTATAAATATATACTATTCAAAGCATATAGTTTATAATAAAATTATTGTGGTACTAGTGTGGAAAGTTTGTATCGTGCGGCGGATATCTCCGGCACGCAATTTTGATGCTTTCTATATATTTACTATTAAATTTTCGAAATCTCCGGTGCGCAATTTCCAAATCATCCTCCTTGCTCATATTGTATTATGTTCCCAGTACCACGTACAAAAGTGAACACTACCATGCAACACCCTTCAATTTCAGATTTCCCCCCAATTAGTTTATACTCCACAATGGTTGATTTCTTTGTTAGCCGATAATTAACAGTTCCTTCGGCTATGTAACAGAAATCCCCTCGAATATTTACAATCCGCTCCTCCCATTTCAGGCCAGGAACATTGTCAAGCATACGGTTTTTCGGGATAACATCCACCAGTTTACCCTTTTCCCATTTGCCATCCACAACATTGCCCAGCACGTCGTTAAACATGTCTTCCAGGACATCTACTTCTACGCGTACATCCGGATCGTGTTTTCTCCCAGAGTTTAAAGTTCTCTTTATGCCATGATAGAGCAAATCTTTAAAATTATTTACTCTGTCAAAAAGAGAATCCTCGCTCAAAACATGTGGTGTTTCATGCTGAATGAAAGGGAAATAATCTCCATCTTGATCATATGGTCACCACTCATCAAACCTCGAGTCATAGCCCTTGAAGTGTATTCGAACCATTTTTCACTCCCGGTCAACTTCACATACCTCAATATCATAAAGTTTGTTGTCCTTTCTTGTTTTTTTTTTACTTATTTACAGACAAAAAGCCATCAGTAGCAACCAATTCGTCAACAAATCGCCGAGGTCGCTTTAAAGTTTGCTTCGGCCTCAACACCATCTTTGTTTATGACTGCGCGATTTGGCTCTCAAAGGGGATTAGACCCAACTTAAGGCAAATGTCCCAATTAGTATTACAAGAGTTCGATATGAAAAGCATGTGAGCGAGGATGAGAAACTAATATATGCTGCAGATACTGACTGAACTTGTAGACTAAATCCATTAACTGTAGCAAGATGTTGTGTGATTGGTTGATTATGACAATGACAAAAGAATAAGCTATAGAATGGATTTTCTAAAGAATGAAGCAAGAACAATATTGCTTTTGTTTATGTAAGCCATTACATCTTTGTCATTGTCATAGTCAAACAGTCACAGAACGTGTTTACTGAGAATATAAAATAAATTCAAAATAATGATTAAAATAGATATTTGATATTTATAAGACGATTTTTGTAAACAATAAATTTTGAATTATGGAAGTAATTGGGCCTACTCATTGTGAAGTAGTCTTTTGTGCAATATAGTCAGCCTAGCTTTTATGCAGGTCACTACTTTATATTAGAGCAAAAGAATAGTTTCAGCCGTGTCGGGGTAGGGTATATTTTGAGTTAGGGATAGTGTGTCATATTTAGCATTTTTTATTGTTATTATTGTGAGAATGGTCGATAAAGTGCCATCAAATTTAACAAGGTTCCAAATGAGGCCAGTTGTGCCTGGGAACCCAATCTCATAAATTTTCCAATTTTAGGCAACCAGAAAGCGTAAACTAGGATGCCCTGATATAGGTCACAAAATCGGTAGTCAGTTTGTGTTGTGTATGTGTATTCTATATTATCGCGCTTAATTTCGAAATATTCTGCTAGTTTAATACCGTATGTAAAGCTGTTTCCGTATTATATTAATAATCTCTGTTTTAGGAATGTTTTTATTCTGTCAACATGTCTAGATTTAGATTAAAACAACGTCACTACGGGCGATTGGTATTTTGGAGTCTGGGAACATCCTAGTTTTTGACGACAACAGCCTAGTTTTTTTTCCAAATAAGGTAATTCTAGGACGTTCTCAGACCCCCGCGCACAAAAAACTAGGACGTTCCCAGTCTTCTTCACCTTCTCACGCCCAGAAAACTAGGCAGTTTGCATTTATATAACTACAATAAGTGATATCAAATTACATTTGTGCAAATCTGTCGCAATAACATTGGTGTAAACAGAAAAAAAAGCACAAAATACATTATATTCCTTGTATTCAGTACAGCTACCAATAGTACAATGTACTGAATATTGGTTATTACGCTTATCACTCATTTATTGAGGCAATGATTATCTACGTAAATAACGCAATGACGAATTGTGATTCATGTTTGGCATACATTACATTGTAATTTTTAAGAGATAGTCATCAACTAAATTGGATTCTTTGGTGTTGTTTTAAAGCTGTTGTTAGTCTAATAATGTGGACATAGGCATGGTCTTGTTTTTTTAGTTTGAGTACTAAAACTAGTTAACTAGAGTTTTTATTATATAAACCAACATCTACATATAGACTCTATATATGAATTGTAAAAGTATATCACACTCATCTCAAAGCTGCACTTGACCTTTAAAACGGTAACTTTATAACGTCACAGTATTTATGGTCACCACTTTTCCCGATGCTTTGCTAACATGCAAATTGTCTAGTATTGATTTTCAAAAGAACTTAGAACGGCAATTTTATAAAGACATTACCAATACCAGAAATGCTAAAATTGTGTGTATTGTAATTGTATTGCAATTGTCACTAATTATAATGTTTTTATAGTGCAGTCATGCCAATTTCCATCAGTACTGGTATCAAAACCTGTAAAATGGACTATACTTTACAGCCATATATTACTAAATACATATCAAAACATGTATCATTAATTCATTTGCGCTAAGCTTATAAGCCTCTTGCAAAAAAAGTTTTAGGGGGGGGGGTACTTGAAAATTGGGCTATTAATTTTTTTAATACTGAACCCCAGGCACAAGCAAAATGCCATTTGGAACCCTGAATTTAATGATAACCATAATCAGTTTTATTCTTCTTGACAATGCTAAACAACTGTTCCTCTTCAGCATTACTATGAGGAAGGATAACAACTACTTCAGCAACATGAAAAAGATATATAAAATGCAGAGTGTTTGTACCAGAAAGTTTCAAGTTGGCAATGTGCCACCACAACGCATGTACCCTATAATGTGGTGGAGATCCATCCTCTTCAGCCTCGCTTTCAATTGCTTTTGCTTCTTCCCATGGAGCCTTGCCAATGTCATTATCAGTTAAGGTTTGATAACCAGAAAATTCATCAAAGAGTGCATCATGTGGTATGTCGATTAGAAGATTTGAAAACCTTTCCAGAAAGTATTCTACACTTTCCAACAGCTGGAAAATTTGTTGAGCATGCGCCAGTTTCCATTTAAACTTGAAATTTTCTCCCAATTTCTCAAATGAGATGCTCGTGGTTGTTGTATATTTGTGAATGCTTGTTTAATCTTTATAATTTTTTTTGCTTGAGACAAAGACAAAGTAAAATGTACTCTATGCTTCCAGTGTATAGAACATCTTGTTTGAACAGCAATAGAATATTATAATCTCGACACAAACAAGAAGACTTTTGTCATGCTAAATCTGCAGAGGTAAAGCCAATCGTCGCGAGCTTGACAGCCTTGTCAAACACAAAACAAGTGCAAATTTGGGTTCAAACAGAAAGACGTTCAATGTTAACATGACTAACATATATATATTATACTAATACGGGTGGTTTAAAATGTTTTTAATTGAATTTTCAAAGCTTTTATCTATTGATATGATAATCAAACTGTGAAAATGCCACTTTTGTCGACCCTTGCGAATCAGCAAATAACTTCCCGTAAACAGAGCATTTCTACGCAAAATTCTCGCTTTAGTCTAGAGATGAACTTGTATGTTCGGTTCTACTAGTTAAACAAGAAAAATGTCCAAGAAACACTGGTAAATTATCGTTGTCAAAAAAAATCATTTCATTGCTTGAATTCAGTCCTGAGCCTAGGTCATATTCAAGGGCAAGGTCAAGTTGTTGATTTCATTACATTTTACAGTAGTTCTAATTTTTCGAACAAGAACTTCATACAAGAGCAGTAAACGCACACATTTCAAAGGGAAATTAGATGCAAAGGGGCAATTTTTCAACAAAATTTGTTGTTAAATTCTGTTTCCTATGTGCCTTGAGACAAAAAAAAATGATTTTGAATTTGGTGGAATCAGTAAATTTTTTTGCAATTTGGCCTGGTATTGCACCCTACATATGTACTGACTGTGATGCAAAAGTAATCTAATATACTATTTTTAATTTCTCTTCATTGAAAGGAACTACTATTGTGGACTAATCTTAATCAGCATACAAGGCTACAAACAACAGCCAAGTATTAGGTAGGTAGTTTGCAAACTTTAAAAATCATTGGACCTCAAACTTTAATCTCCAAAAGTAAACAAATAGCCAATACTGCGAACATAATCCAAGTTTTGATCACAAGGGGCAATTTTTAGATGTAAAAAAGCTTGTTTAAATTATATCAAACAAAGGCAAAACACATTTCCTATCTGCCCACGCTTCTATACCCCCTCTCCCAGGATATTCTATCTCAAAAACAGTTTTCTGCAGAAACTATGCCTTTTTTATGGGTAAATTTTTCAAAAAATACATTATAAACACAAAAAACCTAAATATTTAAATAATTTTCATACCTTTTTTTTTGGGATTGCAAAATTTGATTCATTATCCCACTTTTTAAAATATATGTGACAAAGTTGCTTCGAAATCACCATCACACAGTAGCATGTTTATTTACCCTCATCCTTTTGACTGAATAGAGTTTATCTTTTTGAAAAGCTATTTGTTTTATAGCTCTTAGTTACCGGTTTATGTTTATATCGATTTTGGCACCCACAAGACCAACAAGTTGTGGTAATCTGCAAATGAAAATGGACATTCGAAGAGCACAAAAGCCAACTCCTAGCTATGTAACTTTATCATGTGAATTTTGAATCAATCCACAATTAAAATGCTGATAATGTAGATGCTTTCCATACTTGAGATGTTAGTGAAGTTTTTCCTACAATTTAATTTCCTTGATCGCAGTCTTAAAATGCAAAATCATAAGTTGAAATTTCACTCGTGTTCTTTTTTCGAATTTTTGTGAAATATCACGTGCGCCAGCAATTTCTCTGCACAGCGACAACAAATTTCCCAGCTGCTACACTTTCCCATTTGCTTTCAATTCTCTTTGACACATCAATGATCAATCCCATAGATATCTTATATACACTAGATAGTGCATGTCTTTTAGTAAAATTGAAGCCAAGAATATTCCAGCGGTTACCCGGCAGGTACAAAACGCAGGTTGCAGGTTGCAGGTTGGAATTTTGCAGGTTGCAAATTTTGCAGGTTGGGGATTTTGCAGGTTGGCAGGAACTTTGCAGGTTGATAATGCAAACTTAAAATTACACCACTTTTTCAGTATTCTAGTATAATTTAGTTGTGCATTTATTGCAGTCTGACTCCTTGTCGGCGCCTCTGCTCTAAGGCTAGTGGCCATCACCCCAGTGAAAACATTCAAAATGACCAGATTGGCTTGGACCTACAGGGAGACGAATGCAGGGGCGTAGGAACCGGGGATGGCCAGGCCCCCCAAGTTTTGCCAAGTGCCCTTTTTCCGGGAGCAAAGTGCCCTTTTTTTGTGTTAAAAATGTTTTAAGGATTGCCTTTTTTTCATTTCCGAAAAATTTTTTGGTATTTCCAGAACATTTTTTTCATATTTAGGAAAATTGGATATATCCGGAAAAAAATATTTTTAGATGCCCTTTTTTATTCGTCAAGTGCCCCTCAAAGCCTGGCACCCCCCCCCCCAACTTTTAGAAGCTTCCTACGCCCCTGGACGAATGTTTTGATTGTTGCGAGGTGCCTACATGATGTCGTGGTGTTTATACTAGAATGTTGTTAAAAGTTAACTAACTCTCGAGTAATGATACGGTAATTGGGGGCTTGAGTGGTCTCATAAGTTGGTGCAGAGGAGAAACACCTCATTCAGGCATTTTCTGAACTGCCACCACGTCATGTCGGCTCCTCGCAAAAATCGAAACATTCGTTCCCCTGAAGATCCAAGCCAATCTGGTCATTTTGAATGTTTTCACAAGGGTGATGAGCAGAGGCTAGAAACATGGTAGCAGGATAGGCTGATATCAAAAGTGGCGACAAGGAGTCAGACTGCAATAAGTACACAATAAAATTATACTAGCATACTTTATAGTAGTGTAATTTTCAGTTTGCATCATCAACCTGCAAAATTCCTGTCAACCTGCAAAATTCCAACCTGCAAAATCCCCAACCTGCAAAATTCCAACCTGCAAAATTCCCAACCTGCAAAATTCCAACCTGCAACCTGCGTTTTGTACCTGCCGAGCGGTTACCCCCATTTGAATAGATGGCGGCCATGTTGGAGTTTCCCACTCGCTAAGAAACGCTTAATGAATAGTTTGAAAATGTATTTGGAATAGGTTTAAGTTAATGTTTAAGTTCCCTGTTTAAAAATAGAAAACATACGAGTCTTCTCATTTCATGGGAATATCCTGAGTCTGCAATCACAACTTCAATTTTTGAATTGCAGAATAATTAGATGCACTATCCAGTGTAAATAAGACATCTATGATCAATCGACCTTGCATTTGCAAGTAGCTCATTATTCAAAGGAAATTTCTGTTGTATGTACATGAGTGCAATTATTTATAAGTAGCAATAAGCAGCATCAAAAATCTTGTCATATCTCACCATATGTCACCATCATTTAAATGCTTAATAGGGTTTTCTTGGTCAGTCCACCCATAAAAATTTGACTCTTTGGCTTAAATATTTCATCATCCTCCAGGTTAATTTCAGTCACAGCTTGATCTCTTACAACAATATTACATTAGAAGAGATATTCATATGATGTATATTCGGTATAAATACATTAAAAAGTTTTAAATTATGATGTTGAAATTGTGCACGGTAGCATAACACGGTAGCCAAAGTAGCATAAGCTTTCGAGTTGGCCACCAATAAAGTTAGTACTGTAGTAATAAAGTTAGTACTGTAGGCTTATTCACTTACTAAATAAATATTGGTTACAAAATTAATCAAAGTAGAGTACTTACAGTTGTCCTCTAATCACTTTCTTCACACGCTTCAAAATTCTCGCTGACCTGATTCTGTTCCTGCACCACATCTCTTCCTAGCCTCGTCCGGGTTGAGCATAGCATTTTGTAAAAATTGTGAATTGTTGGCTCTTCACATTGTAACAATTTAAAATTTGTAAAAAGCTGTTTAGAAGCACTGTGAAACAAAAGGACTGGCTCCAAAATTGGGTTGGAAAATGGAGCATGAAGTCTTTGAAAGCATGCATCAGCAAAATGTTCTGATTCAAAGTATGATTTGAGACTGGTAAATTTCTTCAAAACTCGATCCACACATCTTTCCAATGACAACCAACTAACTGATGAAATATGTTTGAAGACTTTCTGGTATTCTTGATCACAAAATTCAAAGTATTTGGCAAGCTAAATGGACCATTTGCATTATAGACTAAATTTTGATCTAGACAAAATTTCATCACAGCTTGAAAGAGCATCACAAAATTAGTAATATTTCAAAGTTTCATTGCAAAATGTTGTAAAATGCAGATAATATAGCCTTGTGAAATTTGCAATTTTCAGTCATTTTGTATTACAAATGGAAATTGATGCCCCAACACCCGATTGGGCTGTCAATTTCCCGCAATCCCGCAATTTCCCGTATCCAGCAATAAGGATATTGGGGTTCTTCTCTTTGCATCTTGAAGCAATGGAGTTGTGAGCACCAATCATAGCATTGGTATTGTCTACACTTAGGCTAATAGCATTGTCCCAGGGGATAGAATCAGCGTCAAATTTTTCATGTATGGCATCAAATATCTCATAAGCTTTTCCACAAGCCTCTCCCGATGTTGTACAGATATAAAAATGATTAGTAACTTTTTTGGAACGTGTAATATCAAACAATCGAATTTTTAACAGTCCATTATCGTTGGATCCATTGGTACCCAAGCTGAAAGGATGGGATTTACAGTGCTTTGCAAGTGTTGTATGGCAATATGGTCATATGGCATAATTAAGAATAGCTGACGTCTGTGTTTGAGCGGAGGCATACTGAGAGGCAATTTTGCCATCTGGAAAGATAGCTTTAAATAAGGGGTCAAGATGATCTGCTGTTGAAATGGGAAGGTTGTGTTGAACTAAAAAGTTAGTGACCATTACCTCTGCCTTTGTTGTTTTATTTTCAGTGGACGATTCTCCTTGCCCTCTCAGAAAACTGGTCATTGACGTTTGTTCTTTAAAGCCTCTCACATTTTTTTATGGATATCTCTTTCACAATGGATTTTTACATCTCTTAAACCTTCATGGCAGCAAGAAATGTTTTCACCACAAGGAATGCAGTGAATGTTGTTTTCTTGAAAGGAACTGCATGAATAGGATAATTCTGCGCCCAAGAATAATTGGCTGATCCATCACATTTTTGCGTCTTTACCAACGGTTCATTCTCATCTGTACCAGATTCATGTTCAGGTACGCTGCTTGTTTGCTCGCCATTTTGTTTTTATATTGTGGATACGAGGTGAATGAATGGATCTAACGACTTTTTTCCTTAGTTTATCCAATCCTATCCCTTAAAGCGACTGAGGCTTTGGGGATTCGAGTGGATAAATGTGCCTTACCCATGGGCCATGACTTGTGTACCATACATGTGTTTGTAATAATACAAAATGGCGATCGAAAATCGTAAACTCATAAAGCTGGTAAATTCAAACTTTTAGACAAATTTTTAGCCATTTTGAAGGAAGATATATTGTGTGTCTCAGAGCTCCGAGTAAAACGTCAATTCTCGTCTGCCACAAGCTTATATACTATACGAATCTGAAGTAAATTAATCAAGAACTTTAACTACTTATTGAGTCATTTAATTATCTTTGTGCTTTGTTAAATCAATCGAAATGTCCGCTAAACAAACCAAGAAAGACGGCGATATCAAAAAGCAAATTTCTGAACTAATACTAGGCGATGGCGACATCCTTAAATGCATTGCTGAAGCTGTATCGTCCGCAATTATCGACACTATGTGTGTGAACGAAAGCTTTATTGCTAAAATAGCTGATAAGATTTCTCAAAACGAAAAGCATACAACTAAAATAAAGCAAGAGCTTTACGAAAGTCTCTTGTTTGATAATACCGACCTTCGAGCAAAAATCACTGATTTGGAAAATAATTGCGCACAATTAAAGAAATCGTACGACAATCTACAAATGGCCCATGACGACTTGGAACAATATGGGAGAAGGAATTGCTTAATTTTTCATGGCGTTCCAGAACCACCAAAAGATGTGACCGAAAATACAGATGCTGAAATAATTAAGATAGTCAACGACAAACTTGGGATGAAGATTCAAGTGTCGGATTTAGATAGATCTCACAGACTGAGAAGGAAGTCTCCGCAAATAGCTAACTCAAGACCAAAGCCTATTATTGTAAAATTTAGTCGTCACAATACTAAATCTGAAGTATTCAGCCGAAAGCGTAATCTAAACGCATCCGGCATCGGGATAACAGAAAGTTTGACGAAGAAACGCCTTGAATTGTACACAACAGTCTCGAATCATCCTGGGGAAAAGCAGCATGGACAGCAGATGGTAAAGTCATTGCCCTACTCTCAGGTAGTCAAACTAAAGTTTTTCTTGAAAACCATAAGGATTTTACAAAGTTATCTTCACTCATTAATTGACAGTGAATCTGTTTTGATTGAACGTTTTGAAACTTCATAAGTCATAAGTAAAATATACGTACATAGTTGATATAAATAATTATGGCTGAATTTATGCTCATAAGAATTTACCTTATACTTTGAACAAACTCAGATTTCGTAATATATATATACCTAAATGTCTTTTTTCTTGATTGCTTGTGGCAGGGTAAATTGTCGTGTTCGTTTCTTTTTAGTGCAGAGTTTCTTTGAAACTGTGCACTATTGTGATGAATGGCGAAAATTCACATCTGTCATACATCAGATATCATAGAGTAAACTTTCCGGGGGGGTGTATACGATTTATCGTCGTGGTGATTTATTCTACTTAGTCAGTGCTTTGAAGGTTATTTAGGCAATTTCAGTTGTCTTATTTAAATACTTATTTTGTCCTTTTGCCAAGTTCACAAACATTTCCAGGAATTGTTGTTATTGCAAATTTTTGTCAATTTTATAACATTTGCTTCTCCGTGTTGTGTGAAAGATCTTTCCCCCGGAACACCCATTTTTTCTTTAGCAGCGCAAATGCGCATGTGCTATCAAGCTGTAGATCACGATGGCGTGACGAATGACGATGCTAGGAAGGAGCGACACTGCCGAACAGTGTTGTTTTCAAATTTAATATAAACATTTTTATAGATGTGAATATCGAGTAAATCTTTGAGAATCTACGCAATATATAAATTGACGTTATGACTTATGCATTATGGGCATTCAATTAAGTACCGATATTATTTTGACGGTATATTTAATTTCAATATACAAAGCTAGGAAGCAGCGAGACAGTGTTGTTTTGTCTTTTGAAATGTATGAACATTTCAGGCATGAATATTGAGAAAATCTTTGAGATTCTACGCAATATATAAATTGATTTTTTGCATTACGGGCATTCTATTAAGTGCCGACGGCATATTCATTATACAGAGCTAGGAAGCAGCGAGACCGTGTTTTCAAATGTATAAACATTTCAGACATAAATATTGAGAAAATCTTTGTTTACGTGTATAGCACAACGGTGCAAACTCGTGTTCAGTGCAACGAAAACTCTACCAGATCTTACGAGAATCTATCTGTATCAAAGCTTGTCAAAACTGCTATATAAACACTGCAATAACTGTGAAACTATTGAAATCTAAAGTTACATTATTGAATACATACGAAAAGCTGAAAATGACTCATGAAACAACAACGTGACCTTCGAAATATATCAAAGGTCAATGAGACTTGTTATTGTGAACACGTCATAATTAGATTAAAATGCGGAAAGCGGATGCGGATTCACGGAACGGATGTGGGGATGAAATGCTGTGCATTTTAATGAGTTTTTCGCCTCTTATTTACTTTTCTGTGTTTTAGATTTATGTTCCTTTTTTGTAATGGAATACAACGTCGTAGTGCTTATTATTTATAACATATCTTATACAGCTATTTTCTCAAATTGTCACTGAGACAAAAGCCAAAGTGTACAATATGGGCGCTAAAAGGATGGTGGGTATAATCACAGATTTAAACAAGTCACCTAGGTTGCCGGCGACCCTATATAGTGTTGTTTTCAATTGGAAACTTTACAACATTATAACAGAAATTATGCCTTGTGACTAATATTATATGAGGAAATAAATAATATTACATAACTCTCGTCATTCTTTAATCTTAAAGTATTAGATTTAAACTATATCTTAGCCTTTTTACTGTTGTAACAGTCACGCGCGCTACTACTGTACGTCATATCGACATGTGATTAAAGCTATAAACCACGCTTGAAAAACTATTCAATTAATAAGTATGTCAATATAGCGTTCGTCTTTGAAACTCTGCACTATCCTTGGATCCCTAGTTTGACCTTACTTTGAAGTGAAAGGTTGCATGTTTACTACACCTTTTCACAGATTCTGTCTGGCTTGGTATACTTACAAGTTATTCGTAATGTTTAGCTATACTTTGTGTTTGTTTGTTCTGCAATTTTATGTGTGTGTTTTCCGCTTTTATTTAAAAATTGTTATGATAATGCTAAGAATCCCAACCCTCATAGTAGCACCAAATGGCTAACTACATTACACCCGAGGAGATTGTTGACGGTATCAAAAGCTTGTCTACCTTTAAATATACAGATTATCCTAATGGCAAGGACTCAAGACTTGAATCTCTACCCCATTTAGATATCTTATCAACTTTTGATCTCACTCCACGCCTTTCGGACGCAGATATTGATTCTCAATTACCAATTCGTACTAATTTTGATTACTATTCTACTCGGGAATTTCAAACTTGTTTAGAAATTCAGAATTTAAAAATGAACAATTCAATTTCATTCATGCATGACAATATAAGAAGTCTAGCAGCTAATTATGATAAACTTTCTGTTATGCTTGACGAGCTTCAATTTCCATTCTCAATAATAGGATTGTCTGAAACTAAAATAAAGACTGACAAGGATTGTTTAGTTAACGTTGAGTTAACAGGATATAACTTTGTATCACAACCTACTCCTACAAATGCTGGCGGTGTGGGCTTTTATATAATGGAAACCATAAATTATAATATTAGAGATGACCTAGGCGTATCAAAGGATGAATTTCAAGGCTTGTGGGTTGATATTGAAATACTAAATCAAAAATTAACTTGCGGTGTTTTGTATAGGCATCCTAGAGTCAAATTAGAAGCATTCACAAACTATCTATACTCATGTCTCGACAAAATTCAGCAAGAAAATAAAACTTGTGTCATCCTGGGCGATTTTAACATAAATCTTCTCAACTATTCTGCCCATACTCCGACTGAGGATTTTGTAAACACTTTGAGCTCTTATTTTTATACTCCACATATTCATAAACCCACACGAATAACAAATCACACAGCAACACTTATTGACAATTTATTTTTAAATTCTATTAAGTATCATACTATAAGCGGCAATATACTTTCTGATATATCTGATCATCTTCCCAACTTTCTTATTATTAATCAACTAAATGCATTGCTAAAAAATTTCAAAATTTATAAAAGAGATTATTCAAATTTAGATGAGACCGCTTTAATTGATGAAATACAGTCTGTCAATTGGGAAACTATTTTCCCTCATGACTGTGATGTTAATATTATTTTTGACAGGTTTTATTCTACAATTGCAGATATTATAGACAAGTATGTCCCTGTTAAGAAGCTTAGCAAAAAACAAATTAAGTTTTATTCTAAACCTTGGATTACACCTGGTATTAAGATTTCTATTAAAACTAAGAATAAGTTATTTAAAAAATACCTAAATAATAAAAGCCCTGATTACAGCCATAATTATAAATCATACAGAAATAAATTAACTAGTCTATTAAGAGTTAGTAAGGAGAAATATTTTAATAGTTATTTTATAAAACATGGTAAAGATGTTAAAGCTATTTGGAGAGGCATAAAAGACTTAATTACACTCAAACCAAAACATTCAAACGCACCCTCTAAATTGATTAGAAACAGTAAAGAAATTGTAGATGCTCAAGAAATTGCCAAAACATTTAATGAATATTTTTCTAATATAGGTAATCGCCTTGCCAGTTCAATTCCAAGTACAAATGTCCCACCATTAAGTTACATGAACCCTCCACAAACTTCTAGTTTCTTTCTCAGTCCCGTTACAAGATACGAGATAGAACAGGAAATTATCAAACTAAATCCTACAAAAGCTACCGGGCCATTCAGTATACCAATTAAGTTACTTAAAATACTTAGTACATATTTATCAAAACCATTAGAAGTACTCTTTAATCATTCATTTGTAACTGGAGTAGTGCCTGAAAGCTTCAAGTCAGCACGTGTAATTCCTATATTTAAAAAAGGTTCTCAAACTTGTGTCAACAATTATCGTCCAATCTCCCTGTTATCAATTTTTAATAAATTATTAGAAAAATTGATGTGTAAAAGGTTAACTAACTATATTGAAAGAAGAGAAATTCTTTATAAGGGACAATTTGGATTCAGGTCAAAGCACTCTACAGTACAAGCAGTCATATCGATTACCGATAAAATCCAAAGAGCAATTGAGGATGGTTTGTTTTCTTGTGGATTTTTTTTGGATCTAAGTAAAGCTTTTGATACTGTTAACCACCAAATATTAATAACTAAACTTGAGCATTATGGTATAAGGGGAATAACAAAAGATTGGTTTATTTCATACTTAGAAAATCGAAAACAATTTGTATCCATAGGAAGTTCAGTATCCGACGAGCTTGTTGTCCCTTGTGGTGTCCCACAAGGATCTGTACTCGGCCCACTGTTGTTTCTTCTGTATATGAATGATTTCAATAATAGTTCAAAGGTTTTCGATTTTCACCTTTTTGCTGACGATTCTAATCTGTTTTGTACAAACAAGAGTGTTTTGGACATGGAACAAGTTATTAATGATAATATTGTAAATATTAATTCCTGGCTTAACTGTAATAAACTTTCCCTTAACATTGATAAGACAAATTTTGTTATTTTTCATCCACCTCAAAAGAAAATTACATCCACAATAAAAATATTTATTAATCAAGTACAAATTAAACAAGAAACTAGTCTCAAGTATTTAGGAATCTATATAGACTGTAATCTTAATTGGAAAAGTCATATTCAACATATTTCGAAAAAAATCAAGAGAAGTATTGGAATGTTGTGTAAAATTCGCCATTTTGTTACCTCACATGTAATTACACAATTTTATTATTCCTTAATTTACCCATATTTGACATATGGAATAACGTTGTGGGGAAACACCTATATTTCAAATCTTAATCCAATAATAACCTTACAAAAAAGAGTAGTCCGAATTATTACCTTTTCTAAATTTGACGATCATTCTAGTCCTTTATTTAAAAATCTTAATATTTTGAAGCTCGTTGATCTTGTTTTTCTAAACAACGCTTTATTCATGTATGATTATTATAACGGGAATCTTCCTGCTACATTTAATAACATATTCAAACAGGTCACATCAGTACATAATTATAATACCAGATTGGCTTCTAGAAATACATATTATATTGACAAAATAAGAACTAACTATGGCAAATTCAGTCTTCGATTTCAGGGTCCTAAAGTATGGAATGATATTGATGATAAATATAAAACTCTTAGCAAATCATCTTTTAAGAATAAAATTGCGGAAAATATGATTTTTATTTACTAGCGCTGCCACAAGTATTCATGAATATATACTTTTATAATTATACAAAATGATATAAAACTCATTATTTCATTTATTTTATAAAAGGTCACTAGACTGGTTTAGTTTTCACTATTTCTGGTGACCTGTGCCATAATATTTATATTAAAAAAAAAAAATCATATAATGTTATTTTACTTGGTGGTGCGAAATAAATTGTTGTTGTTGTTGTTGTTGTTGTTGTTGTTTCAAACCTCTGAAGTCAAATGGTCCAAACATTGTTGTGAAGTCTAGTGGTCGTGTCACGAGACACAATTCAACTAAAAGTATTTCAACTAACGTTCCTAGAGTAAACACTTTAACTTTTCAAAATAGCTACTTCATTAGCGCTCCTAGAACATATAATTGCTTGCCATCTTTTATCCGTGATGCTGACGTCACAATTGGCCAATTCAAATATACTTGTTGAAATATTATCACGACATGACTGAACTTATATATGACATTAATGTACCACAATCGTTTAAAACAGTCTGTGTCAAATGTCATTCGTGTCGTCCTTTGTCGAGCCTTGTAGATAAAATGTGTTGTAATTGAGTAAATGTTTAGTTTAAGGGACCCTGTGAATTGGGCAAAAAGCCCTGTAGGGATCACCAGTCATTTATGACAAAGCTAGTAAATAAATAAAATAAATAAATAAACAGACGCCTCCCTCTGTTCTAGAACGATCGACCCTAATAAAATCATAATTACTTATGTACATATCTTGGTTATTAATAGTATCATTCAATCTTGTCTCATTTAATGCAAGAATATCGAGACATTCGTCGTCTAATATGATCCTAATTTCGTCAATATGCTTAGGTAAACTCATTTTGAAACCCTTGAAATCAGGGAAATATGGGTTAAATTGAGCATACCTTACAGCACCTGGCCATGCCTTATTTCAATTACGATTAAAGTGATTACTATAATTTCTAGTAAGAGTGCTACTACCCTTTCTATTTAAATGTAGGCCTCCTCTTTTTAGGCAAATTAGTGTTGTTTATATAGGTCCATTTGTTTTGGTCAGAGACCCGTTTAAGAATGTCATTTACAGTTTTAATTTTATTCTGGATATTAGCTTTATCTTTCCTGGTTATAATGCCCAATATGCATACGTTAGTGTATGGTAGACTATCTTTTATTTGGGTTCCGAGGTTTAAGATACTTGAAGCAAC